GCAGAGCTCGTCGCCCTCAGGGTTACAGGAGGTAGAAGCCTGTCACTTTCCCAGCCTGGCGCACCGAGCTGTTCTCGGAGGCTGTAGAAGGAGCAGTCCCCCCGTCACACCAGCTGCCTCCTAGCGATGACAGCTCGCTCCTTCCTTTTGGCCCTCTGCATTCATCCACGCAAAGGTCAGCCCCGTGGCCCTCCTGGCGGGGACTGCGACATCACTCATGGCAGCAGCGGTCATAGCCCCCATCAGGCAGTGAGTCACCTTGTGGCTCGAAGCCTCGCCCCGACTGGTTTTCGTAAACCTTCCGGGCTTCTGCGCTCCCAGCAACTAACTGATACACCCGACTAACTGACGAAATTTCTGCTCTTCATAAAGCTGGTCTTTTGCACGTTTTCGGCGGCTTGCTGTTGGCCTTGCTGGTTTCACACAGACTTGCACCTGTGTCAGAGCTTGGGTTCTAAGTTGTTGATCATGGTCACTTGAGAGTATTGACCTCTTCTACAAGATATGTTTCCTCAATTACATTTGTGTGTGTCTGGTTTTACAGAAGGAAATGCTATACTTAGGACACTCCCGTTTGTCCCATTCTTGTTATGCGGGTATGAATTTGTTTTCTGATGAGCCTGAGGAAAATGGAAGGTAATTTAGGAAATGCAACAGAGCTTCATAAACCGGATTGTTTGGATCTGCTTCAAACCCTTCAGGAGATGGAACGTGGTAATACTCTGCACAAGTGTCCCCCTGCCTGTCTTGATCAGGGATGATAAGCTGCCCGAGAGGGACCCGTGGGGCAGTCGGGTCGTGTAAGACGGCACGACGCAGAACCTGCTCCTTAACGTGCCCGTGACTTCACGAGAACGTGGGCCAGGTGTGCAGGACCTGCTCGCTTGTGCCCTAATGAGGCAAAGAGCTACCGAGTCTTTGGAGAGCCCGTCTGTTACTTTGACAGTCACTGGAGGTGTGGCCCAGAGTGGGGAAGTGCAAGCATAGCGTTGACTTCTGTTCCTAAGGGAAGGACGCGGATCCTAAAAATACTCCGCGGCCTGATTAATACACTTAGAAGTAAATGTTCTGGACACTTAAAACTCAATTTGCAGACCCAGGAGAACGTTGAATATCAGTTAATTAAACTTTTGATGTAAAGTAAACAAACCCTCACTGCAGACTCTGAATCTAACGATGAGATTGGGGGAGAATGTCAGGGTGAACTCTCAGGTTTCGCCCAAACCTTTAGATCGACACTTTGAAAGGAACCGGGGGGTCAGGGAGTAGAGAGATCGCTAGTCATAGAATTAGTTTAGCGTCAGATAGGAAGGCCATTGTAGACTGGATCCGAGCTAAACCAGCAGCATAGTGTCGTCGTAAAACCTTGCTGGGGGCTGTGTTTTCCAGCAATGAATGGAAGTGAAATATTAATGCCATAGGCCGATCGGTAAACTGGGACCGCACTGCTCATGTTGATCGAATCGCAGGATTTTTTTATCCGTTTTATACCTGTTCTCCCCAGCTCCTCAGGCGTGTCTCTCCACTGCCTTGGCGGGGCATTCCAGCAGGGAACC